CTTTCCTGCCCTATTTTTCCTACATAGTGTACCTGACAGGTGTTAGATTCCAGATGTGCGTTGACTTGTCGTCTGCCTCACACACTGCAACGGAAGCTTTAGACAGGTGGGGGGTTTTGCCCGTTGCATTCAATGCTGTATTCCTAGTGAAGTTAAACAAAAAATAAGGCAGCAGATGCCAAAGGTATTTCCAGCACAAAGAATGGAATGCACAGAGGCAGCACAGTGAGTAAAAGTGAACCCGGGAGACCAGGCCCTGACCCTGACCCAGACCTGCCACTGACCCTGTGCGATCCCTCCCCTCTCTAGACTGTGCCAAGGCTGAACTCCATGACCAGGAAGGTTCCTCCAGCACCAGCTTTCTCAGACATGGATCCTGAGCTGGGGAGGAGGTGGTTCTAGGGTAACTGGGACCTGAAGCTTCTGGGAGAAATGCTAGGGGTTGGGGTACAAGGAAAAGAGAAGGGTGAGGCTGGAGCTGAGCAAGCAAGACTCACCTGTAACAGGAACTCTGGGCTCACCTTTCTCCTCCTGACCTCTCTCACCCCTTCTGACCCTCCATCCCCCTCCAAACAGGCTTTCTTGTAAAACTTGAGTGGCAGGAAAAGAACGTTTCAGTCACTCCAACAGTTTCTAGCTTGCTTGTCTTCTGGTTTGTAGCTCTCCAGTCTTCCCTGTGCCAACCCTGGGTTCTTCCAAGGGACACAGCAGGACTCCAGTGTCTCTTGCACTTGATGGACATCTCTGCCTTTAGAGAGAGGCGGAGAGGTTGGCCTGGGAGCAGACACACCCACGTTTCATCCAACTGTTGGACCATTGCCCAGTCATTGCACTGCTTGGAGTCTCAGCCCCTCATCTGTGAAGTGCAGAGGAATAATTGAGATAGTAGATGAGGACTGTGAAGCATCATGCCTGGGAAACATCAGGCTTTGAAGATTTGTTTCCTTTGCATTCTCCCAAGGGAGAATTGTGCAACCCTGGTCTGCTCACACCTACATCTATGCACAGGTCCGTTAGTCAGGTGCATGGCATGAATTACACCCATCCCTCCATTTCTGTGTCTGTCTCTCCATTCAATGGAAGTTTCCTGAGAGCAGGAGCAGGGGTTATATCTCCCGCAGACTAGAGAGGAAGTGGTAGGTCAAGGCCCTCCCCAGTACACTGGCCCTAGGAGCCCTGGCATTTGCCCTGAGTCTGACTTGATGAAGGTAGTCAGTGGGAGTCATGGTTTAGGGAGAAAGAAATAGGCCCTGTTTTATACTCTGGACCAGACCAACCCATCCTGAGCTTGGAGCAGTGGGACAGCTTCCTGGCAAATAGTCCACTGTATGGAGAACAGATGAAGGTAGAAAGGACCCAGCTGGGGCTGCTCTGGGGATTCAGCAGGACCCTACAGAGGTAGGGAAATTTGAGCAACTAACTGCTTATGGCAAAAATGTCTCCTCTAGGACTAGATATTTCCCCAGTACCTCCTCCCCGTCTCCCCACACACATACACACATACACATGCAACATACACACTTACAAATATACACATACATACACACACAAACACACACTCATACATATAAAAGCACAAGCACACACATGACTCCATATGCAACTACATAGCCTCTACAACCACTTTCAGAACAGTAACACTCCTCAAGGTGCGATAACGTGAAAATAAACTTCAACACCTGCACCAGCCTGGAAGGAGAGCTCTCTGTTCCCTGGACCAATGAGGGTCATCCCAAGAGCATTTCAGCTGGATCTGAGCTACGAAAAACTGACCCTCCCTCAAACAAACAAACAAACAAACAAAAAACCCCACACTGACCACAATAAACAGCTGGTTCGCAGTTGGAAGATGTCTGAGGTCACCTGATACAACCCATCTCACATGCATTCTCCAAGCCCCCACCCAGCTCAGACATGCTGCTGCCTTCCGTTGCAACTACATTCTTTGTAGTTGTACAAAGAATGTGATTCCCCAAACCGTGAGCCCCAGGAGAGGGCATTCTGACAGCTGGACGACAGGACACTGAGCATCTCCTCTTCCCACCCAGGGAGCTGTGCCTGCCCTTGCTCCTCTTCCTGCACCAAGAACAGGACTGGGGCTGGCCTTCCATAGTGAGCAGAGCAAGAATCAGCACTAGGACTGGAAGTGGGACCAGCCATCCCACAGGCAAAAAGAGGGAAGCCAGAGGAAGATGTAAGAAGGACAAATGGGGACATCGGACAGACCAGCACCAACACCCACTGAGGAAGAATCAGCCTCTTGGCCCTTTGTGGTCACATCACCCTTTCTTGTCTTGCTCCCTCCAGAGCAGCATATGGGTACGAAAGGCAAATGAGGAGCAAAGGTCAGGTTCAGGAGGCCATGAGGAGAATGGTGAGGATTCTGGGCTCACGGGGAGATGACTAATGCAGGTGCAGATTGAGATGGTGTAGCTGACAGTGCACTGGGCAAAGGAGGATGCCTATGGGGAGGGACCTGAGGTTAGCAGCCTCAGAGTATGGGGCCACTGCCTCACCCAGAAATAGTGTAAGCATGGCTCCCAAGATGGAAGGGCACACAAGATATCCTGGCTCAAGTCACATTGGCAGGGCCATCTGCCTTCATCTCATACTGCCAACTAAAAGCTGTTCCCAAAGCTCCCCCCACCTGCCAGGGCAGTGAACGCTGCCCTCCCACAGCTAAACAATAGTTCACATAGGCTGCCTCACTCCAAGAGAAAGAGAAACCTGCTAGTTTTTGCCTCTGCAAGAGAAAGAGCCAGGGCCTCTTTGGGCTGGGGCAGAGATGGGGTCAAGGCCTTTGTACGTGTCATGGGATGTGATCTCATCCTCATTACATTGGACAGGGGCTGGACAGTTACCCTCACTCATGTAGACCTATTAGGTCATTCACACAGACACCGAGGGAATCTCCCCGATATACATGCATGGCCCCCAAATGGGGTAACCAGAGGGCAGAGCATGAGGCCTCTGAGCCCTAAAATGCTGGGGCTCTTCCACCTCCTGTCCGACTCACACACACCTCAGCTTCATGCCCCTCCCTCCTTGCCACACCCTAACTTTGCCCAGTGACTGAAGGCTCTCACACACACTCTCCCCCAAAAGCTCTCATTATGTTGTGAGTCAGAGGGTGGGGGGAGATCTGGAAGATACAAACCCTAGAAACCCATAAGACCGGTGTGACTTCCGGGAGCAGGGTCTGCTGCCCTGGGACTCACTGTCATGGGCTGGGGAGAGGCAGATTCCTGCCATGTGAGATCAGCTGCAGAGTTCAAGGCCATGGGTGCCCATGTGAAGATGTTTGGGTAGCTCTCCATGACGGTGGGGGAGGGAGGGGGTGAAGAGAGAGAGGCTTCCCCAGCCCTAGAAAATGACACAGTGCCTGTGCTATGGAGAAGGCAGAGTGAGGTCCTAGGTGGGCTCGGGAAACAGAAAGAGAAGGAGGAGAGGGTAATCTTTCAGAGGGAGGAGTCCCTCCATCTGTCTTTTAAGACTGAGCCCCCCAGAGCATGGCTAAGTTAGCATTGTAAATTGAACTATTTGGGGCTGGAAGAAAGGTGCCTTTTGGGAAATCCATGAGAAATCAGGACACTTCTCAAAATAAGCTCCAGAAATGAGTATTTGTCTTCATATTGTTCTAACAGTTCCGGTTTTATTTGGTTGTAAAGAAGGGAGTTTAAATAATAATGTCCATAAAATAAGCTATATACCAATTATTAAAAAGTATATCATGATTGTTTTTCACACACATACACACACACACACACACACACACACACACACACATCACTCTACATACTTTGATAGTAATTATCTCCCTGTGGTGAGATTCACAGTTCATTCCTTCCTTCCTTCACTTAACATTTCTAGAGCACTGGGTCCATGCTGATGGGTTCTGAGAATATGGTGAACACACTCCAGGCTACGCTACTCCTGGCTTATAATGCTTATTTTCCAATGGGAGAGAGAGGAAATGGATAAGTGACCAAAGGCAAACAAAGGCCCTCAATTGTTATTGCTGATATGAAGTGATCTGGAAGATCACCCTGTAGATGGGATAGTCTGTACCTTCCCGCTGATGCTGAGGCACAAAGAGCCAGGGGCCTGGGAGAAGCAAGCCCCAAGCGGGGAGCACTGGCTCCTCCTGGGAACTGGGGGCCCTCAGCGAGGGCCTCTACCACCACAGCAATGAGTTTGGACTTTATCTCGATGTGCTGAGTCACCACCAATACTGGGGAGAGACAAGCTGCAGTACCCACACTGAAACATTACGTAAGCTCTTTTTAGGGAATGGTTTGGGGGAAAGCAATGGATGATTTGGTTTTATCTTCATCCTTTATGCATTTCTCAAAGAATTGTTTTAGCATCATAACAAGCAATCCTTATTTTATATATATTATATGTTGAATGCCTCTTTTCTCTCCTGGGGTGGCCCATCTTTTGGAGTTTCTATGAGTTTTTATTCTTGGGAGCTTCTAAACTTCAGCCTTGGACATTAGGCATGGGCAGTCCAAGGCACATAGCAGGAGACTCCTATGAGCCTTCCATTTGTCCCTATCGGGCCTAACGTCCTTTGCCCCCCAAATAGAGTTTATTTCCTGACAGTACAGAGCTATAGATAGACCATGAGAGTAGATAGGTTGTGGGCTAATGGCAAGAGAACCCCCACGAAACCACATCTCTTCATGAGAAGTGATTCTTCCCACCTTTACACCACATACCCTGTGTGGACATTCCAGAGAGAAACGTAATTTTCCATTTCTTGCCCTTGGAAATGAATCTCTGCCTAGTAATGGGGATAAACCCAGTCTATACAGGTGGAGAAATAGGAATTTGGAGATGCTTGGCTGAGGTCACAAAACAATAGGAAAAGGAGAATTGTTCCCGAACTGCCTCCCTCACCTCCCTGTGCCCAGGTCATGAGTGAGTCAGGAGTGCCTGAGCCCCCAAGCCCTCTGGCTGGGCCGGAGCCGTGTCCGTGTGGGAAAAGGGGCCCTGAGGGGTTTCTTACTTCAGGTGCCTGTGATGTGTCAGGGAGGGGCTGGAGGAAGTTGACTAACTTCAGTGGTGGAACCAGTCCATCTCCTTCAGCCTAGGAAGGCAGACAGTCTGGGACCAGTATAAAGGGTGCCCTGGCCCCTACTCAGCTCAGCATTCCCGTAGAAGCCCATTCAGCCATCCTTCCTGCGGGCCTGGTAAGTGTGAGCCAATGGAACCAGGGGCCTCCTGAGGCAGAGAATGATGCGGGGAATGCCAGGGTGGGTGCAGGTATCCTCGTAGACTGGATTCAGCTGCAGTATCTGTGCTTCTAGAAGGGCTCCGGTCACTGTGCTGAGGGACAGGTGTCATAGACTGGAGACAGAAAAGATGACAATCTCCTCCTGTTGCCTCTTTCCTTGGGGCCATGGTGTGGAATGTGTGTGTGTGGTGAATGTGAGAAAGTGTAAGAATGGGACAGAGGGTGGGGGCAGTGAGATGGGGCTGCAGCATGAATATGGCCAAATTCTTTTCTCAAATTCTTTGATTTAGGCTGACGGTGATTTTGCCTCTCTCATGGGGGTAGAGACTTCAGGGAAATGCCCGTGACTCTTGGCTCTGTGGCAAAAGGGGGAACTTCAGAATGGAGAAAACTTTCTATTTGGAGAAACAGAGGCAGAGCAGGGGCAGGAAAACCGAACATAAGAGTAGAGATTTGGAAGAGCCAGCCCCATTCTCAGCAACATTGCTACCCCTCCTGCCACCCCTCACCTGAGCACTGGAGCTGCAGGGAGAGCTCAGAGTTCATGACTAAGGTAGCTCTGCAGTTAACAGGCCAAACCACTCGTTTTAAAGAGGAGACAGCTGGGGCTCAGAAGGGGTAGGTGCCTGGCCCAGGAGCACACATTATTTCAGTGAGATAATTAAACCAAGAATATGTCATGTGACTCCAATTCAGGGCTCACACCATGATCTCTCACCTCCTCTCCAGCATGGGCTAATGGCTCCCAGGACTTTCCTAGGGCCTTACCTTTTTCTGCTATGACCCCAAACTCTTTCTTCCTTGGAGGTCAGAAATGAGGAGAGGCAAAGATAAGTCACCAGTAGGAGGCGCAGTGGCGCCCCCCCTTCCCCCCCCTCAGGAGCAGCTCTGGAGACAGAACTCTTGCAGGAAAGGAGGCTTCCAGGAGGGCCTCTCCCTGCCTCTCCCCATCACCACCCTCCTTCTGCTGCTTTTGGGGAATGACAGCTGGAGGTGGTGGGAGAGGCTCGGGCCTGGTGGGGATGAGAGGGGCCACTGAGGAACCAGAAACTGATTGCCTGGGAATTCCTCTACTGCCTCTCTTCAGCTACCCCTCTGACCCCTCCTGATTTGCAGGTTGACTTGAAGCAGCTTCCAAGATGTCCCAGCAGCAACACACTCTGCCAGTGACCCTGCCCCCGGTCCTCAGCCAGGAGCTTCTGGAACCTGTTCCTCCTCCCGCTGATACCCAGCAGGAGCAGGTGAAGCAGCCAACTCCACTGCCTGTCCTATGCCAGGAGGTGCCCTCTGAGCTCCCAAGGGAGGTCCCCTTGGAGCAAGGAGAGAAACACACAACTCCTGTGAAGGGGGTGCCGGAACAAGACTGTGAGCCCCAGCCCCAGAAGCTACAGGAGCAGGAACAACATCTGGAACAGCAGCAACAGCTGCAAGAGACCCAGGAGCAGGAGCTGCACCTGGAAGAGCATCTGGAGCAGCAGCAGCAGGAAGAGCCACAGGAGCAGAAAGGGCAGCAGCAGCAAGAGGACCAGGAAGCAGAAAACTTGGAGCAACAGCTAAAGGAGCAGCTGGGACAGGAGAAGCTCTCAGACCAGCAACTGGAGGGAGAGCTAGCAAAGAGAGATGAGCAACTGGAAAAGAAAGGAGAGCCACTGCCAGAGCAGGAGGAGCAGCCAGAGCCAGCAGAGCAGCAGGACGGGCAGCTCAAGCAACCTGCATGTGTCCCAGCTCCTGGCCAGACCCAAGAGACCCACCAAGTCCAGCCACTGAAGGGAGAAGTCTTGCCCCCTGCAGAGGAGCAGCAGCAGAAGGAAGAGGTGCAGTGCCCTGTCAAGCATAAGTAACCACCCCCAGATCCCAGACGCCCTTAGGCCACCACACATAAAGTGAAGAGAGAGCTGAACCAGTGGCCTCACTTACCTCAGGTCCCTCAGTCTGGATGGACCACCTCATCTGTGAACCTGCCTGACCCTGTCCCTCTGCTTGTCTCTGTGATAGAATGGAATGAGGGAGGGGGAAGCTATTGCCCAGCACCTACTCCTGATGACTCCAGTCCCACCCCGTCCCGACCTCAAGTGGCCAGAGCCTCTACCTGAGAATAGTTACTGCAGTTGTCGCTCTGACGCCATCCCCAGTATTATTGCAGAATCTGTGAGTGTGTACAACGATACACAATAAATCCTGGAAGTCTAAAATCCTGTATTCTCTTGGACTTTTGTTCCTTCCTCCCTCCCTCCCTCCCTCCCTCCCTCCCTTCCTCCCTCCCTCTCTTCCTCCCTCCCTCCCTCCCTCCACCTCCCTCCCTCCCTCCAACTCACCATATTAAAAACCCATGTATGGGTCAATGGTTGCAACCAACTCTCTTGGCCAATTCCCAAAGAGAACAGATATCTTGACCCCTCCTCTAAGTCTGTTCCCCAAACCACCCAACACTTTGAATAGCTTCTAAATATGAAACCAAACCAACACCAAATCAAAGCAAAAAATGATTTCATAATGCATCTGAATGCAACACTTGCCAGTTTTGAAACAGGCATAAGTTTTTCTGGTTGGGGAAAGAGGGTCTGGCTGTCTCAGCCCAGCACTGCCTTACATGCATAGAGCACAATTTTAGCCCCAGGGGGTGGGCAGGGAGTGGAGTTCCCTCTGGGTTTGAGTCCCTTCCTGGGTTTTGTCTCTATAGAATGTCCTCATGCTTTCCAAGAGTCTTATGCACTGCCTACTTGGTTAAAGAGGATTTTAGAACAGTATTAGAAGCAGCATTGGGCAAGGTGAGGAGAGGAGAAACTCCTGGGACTCGTCTTTGATGGGGAGTATGACAGTCTCACTAGTGAAAGTAAAGACTAGGCCAGCTGGAATCATGGAAGCCAAAATGCTGAATCAGCTGGAAAAATACAAATGTAAGGTCACTGTACCCTTTACTCTGCCTGACATTTCTGTAGTCTTTACTATCATCAATCATTTCAGGACATGAAGCTCTCTCTTTCCTGGGGATTACCAGCCTTTAACTATTTAACCACATCATCTCAGGCAGTTTGTCTCATTACCCGTAGGCATGAGGATATGTCAGGGACATCCTTACTGATACTTCCAGAGGCTCCCAAACTAAATAGGTCTGAATGGCATTTAGCATCCCATCCTCTCCACCCAACTCTAGCAACACTCACTATCTCTCCTCCTTAGGTATTCTCTCTCCTGAGGAACAATATTACCTTGTGCTTTCACCTTAACCAGAGATACCATCATCATTCCTCACTCCCTACTCCCCTTCTCTTCTTCCCTACTCCCCACCAATGATCAAGTCCTTGCTTTCCCTACATACACCTCCCAAGCCTGGACTGATATCATTTCTTATCAGTGCTTTTGCAATGGCCTTCAAGCTGGTTTTCTTTATCCTCTGTCCATCCATCCATCACATAGAGGACAGAGTGTTCTGCTTAAAATTATGATCTAACAGCATCACTCCTTGGGTTAACACTCATCAGTGCCTCTCATTACTTATGGGATAAGAGCTAAAAGGAAGTCTGGGTAGAATGGGGAGGAGCGGGAGGGCAGGAGCTTGGGAGCAGAGGGAGAAGTGATTAGAAACACCTGGAATATGTGAAAAATTATTTTGAAGTCTTAGGTTTTGATTTTTTAATAGACTTTATATTTAATAACAGTTTTGGATTTACAGAAAAGTCAAGGGGAGAGTATAGAGTTCCCATATACTGCACATCTAGTTTCCCTTATTAACATCTTGCATTAGTGTGGTATATTCATTATATTGATTAACAAAATAATATTGATACCTTAATTTTAACTAAATATGTGGTTGCCCTGCCAGCATGGCTAAGTGGTTGAGTGTCGACCTATGAACGAAGAGGTCATGGTTCAAATCCTGGTCAGGATATATGCCTGGGTTGCAGACTCAGTCCCCAGTGTAGGGCATGCAGGAGGCAGCCAATCAATGATTCTCTCCCATCATTGATGTTTATCTCTCTCTCTCCCTCTCCCTTCCTCTCTGAAATCAATAAAAAATATATTAAAAAATAAATAAGTATGTGGTTTATTCTGATTCCCTTAGTTGGTTTTTACCTAATGCCTCTTTCTATTCCAGGATCCCATTTGTTCACTGCCCTAATTGGCCCATTAAAACAGGCTTGATTTATTTCTTATGTGTCAGGCATTTTTCAAATCATTTTGCATTTTTTGAATCACTGAATCCTAAAAACATGGAACATAGTATAGAGTATATAATCAGTACCCTGGCTGATTTTGATTAGCTAAAGCAAACTGCTGGGGAGTGAGAAAGCCTTCTCAAAAGGACTACAAGCTTTTGGCTTATGTGTTTTTTGAAATTTTCCCAGCACAAAGGAATGAAAGTACAATTCAAGCCAGGGGAATCTACAGCGGATATCTTACCAACTCTACTGGCTAGCCAAGGGAAAGAGCATCCAAGATGGCCTGTCAGTCTTCCAAAGTGTCTGTGCTCTCTTGCTGCCCTCTAGTGTCATGACTCAGAAGTGCAAGACTGGAAGAGATGGGCTCTATCCAAGGAAGTCGGAAAAAGCAGAGCTTGGGTGTCCAGGTTCCTTATGAGACATTGCCAAGGAATGGCGATGAGTAGGGTAGTGTGCAGAGATATGAGACAATGCACATGTGACTCTACTAACAATAATCATCCCCATTTATTGAGTGTTGGCCATACGTCAGACACATTGTCAAAGGCTTTGCATACATGTTCTCATCTTCCTGATTCAATAAGGCCATGATGTAAGTGCAGGTATCCTCCTTACCTTAGAGACAAGCAGACTGAGATTCAGAGAGGACAGGTCATGTCCCTAAGGACATTCAACTAGATTGGACCCAGATATGTCTGAATCCTGAACCTATGCCCCTATAAATGCTGTGGGGACTCTGCGATGGGAAATCTCACAGGAGGGTCGTGAACTCTTAGAGTGCCTTCTTGGAGAAGATAACATATGATCTAGGCTTTGAAGGATGAGGTCCAAAGGATGGACACCTGAAGAATATGGAGCAGGGCTCCAATAGGAACAACCTGGATGAAGGAATAGATGAGGAAATGGTGTGGGTGTGAACGGAGGGAGTGACTCAGTTTGGCTGGAGTGTGGGAAGGGGAGCGATAAAATGGAAATACAGCTGGCCTTGATACCATGTTCTGTGTTCTTCCCACCATGTTATTCTGTAAACCCACCGCTCCAGGCATGAGGTGGCTAAAAATGAAATAAGAAGTGTGATTTTCAACCCACATGGAAAGTCAGAACCCACCAGCCCCATGTGATTCATACTGAACTGCCGGGGCTCCCCAGAGCAGGTGGGAACACTGGAGAAAGGCCAGATTATACAGTCCAGTTGGCATAGTCTGAGATGGTACTTCTACCTGGGAGAAGGAGAGAGGAGAAGATTCCTTCAATAAAAGGCCACTTGGTACAGTGACCTTTCCCAGACCCCAAAAGAGAGTGTGGCATCCAAGAAGGTCATCTGTGCTCAGGTGGACAAAGAGCTTACTTTTAAAACTGAGGCCCTTTCCTAGAATAGCAGTGACGTACAATATACTGCAAAGAGACTTCCACCCGGCATTGGTAAGTGTACCACTGCTACATCACTAAATTTGAAATAGAAATTTAGATTAAAAATATGCTTTCAGGTTCTGATAAAGATCCAAAATAGGGAAGGGGATAGGAGCCTCAACTAGTGCCTTGGCTCAGCCCACCTTCTGAGATCAGGCTGAGTGACTTTTCTTGGACAAAACTCAGATCAAGTCACTACAAACTCAGATCTTCCACAGGCCACATCCCAGCCTCTGCCTCACTCCCTGAGCTCACCTGCTCTAGTCATAGATGCTCACTGAACACAGCAAGAGCAGCCCTGTCTCAGGGTCCTTGCACTTGGTTCTTGCTCTGCTTCTGTCCACAGACCTTTACATGACCATCTTGTCATCATCCAGGCCCAGATTCTATGTTTCAGAGAGGCCTTCTCTAACCATGCTAGTTAAAAATTATCTGTTATAGTTTTTTTTTTTTTTTTTTAATAGCCCGCATGGCTTAACTGACATTGTGTTATTCGCTTATTTGTTAGTTGTACATGTGCATACCATCTCTCTTCCTCCCCTTACTGGGCCTTACTGTGCCTTGTTTGCTCTGTGCCCAGAAAGTGGCCAGTGCATGGAAGGGACTCAATGAGTATTTGTTGCTGCAGACACACTGAGTCTTCATAAACAGTTTTCCATGTAGGGGGTGTCCTAGGTAACTCCTGCCCTCTCCCACTGTTTGGGTCTCACAAAGACCTTTGTAGTACAGCAAGAACAGGCCCTCATGAGTCTAGAAATTAGACAGGGCCTTAGACCATTCGTCGGCAAACTGGGGCTCATGAGCCACATGTGGCTCTTTGGCCCCTTAAGTTTGGCTCTTCCACAAAATTAGAAGTACCCTAATTAAGTTAATAACAATGTACCTACCTATATACTTTAAGTTTAAAAAATTTGGCTCTCAAAAGAAATTTCAATTGTACTGTTGATATTTGGCTCTGTTGACTAAAGAGTTTGCCAACCACTGTCTTAGACTAATTTCTGGACTTCCTCCCCAGATATCTGATCCTTAGGCCTTTTGGACTTTTGTTAAAATGATGGTGGCATGATAAAATGCTTTGTAGTCAGATAGGAAGAAGGACTTCTCTGAATCAGAACATTAGGTAAAGTTCTCTCTCCATCAGGAAGCCTCTAAGGTAAAAGGAAGGGTGTTCCTTGACCTTGGATTGCCATGAGTGCATCGGGGACACAATACTGGGCAGAGTTTATCTCCTCCAGGAAGCCCTCGATAATGCCTCCCTGCTGGTTTATATCCTCCTCAAATTGCAACAACAGCTTCTACATGACTCTACCAAAGCACAACAAGAGCCTCTACATAACTCTACCAAAGCACTAACTACATATGTTAACGTCATTGCTCTAGGTTCTGAGGACTTACATAGCAGAAACTATTTCTATTGATCTCTGAACCCACCGTGTCCAGTTCACTGCCTGAAATACAGTAGGTGATCACTAAATGTTGAGTGGATATAATCTTAAGGTTTGCCTGAGTGAGTTCTCTGTCTTTACACCATTCCTTCCCTACAGTCTTCAGGTGGTCTTACCATGCAGACAGCTACTCAATGCAATTGGCATCCAAGACCACACCCCTGCATAGACCA